GACTCTTTAGAAGTGGGCATCTGATATTTTTTTTAAAAAGCAAAAAACAAAAATAAGAAGATTGGACCTTGGATAGTGGTGGAAATTATATTCCTCAATCAATCCCAAAAATGCCAGCAATGGAAATGGAAAATGTGGCGTGTGTTACTTCATCAGATGTGATTGAAAATCAAATCCAATCATCAGTTGGCCCACATAATCTTGGTGCTAGCCCTCATCAGTATTCTTCAAAGGCTCATGGTATAGCTTCAGGAATTGCCCCAACAGGCGTCCATGAATTACTCGAATGCCCTGTTTGCACTAATTCTATGTACCCACCGATTCATCAGGTCTGATTTGTGCTTCCTAGTTTCTGTCATTTGTTTTTCAGTCTTTATTTCCTTTTATTTTCTGAAGTGCTCCTTGTACATTGTTTACAATTTTCTGCCGTGATGCATGTTTTTAGATTGTATTATCCTTTTACCTTGTGAGGAAAGTTAATATTCGGGGAGATCGAATTACTGTTGATGATAATGATTCCAAAATTCTCATAATTCTATGAGTGAAGAGCGAAACGGCAATGGCAACAAATTTCTTTTCAGTTCTTCATTTTATTTATTTATTTATTTATTTTCTTGTGCGACTTTTTTGCAGTGTCATAACGGGCACACACTCTGTTCCACATGCAAGACGAGGGTGCACAACCGTTGCCCCACTTGCAGACAAGAACTCGGCGACATAAGATGCTTAGCTCTCGAAAAAGTTGCCGAGTCACTCGAGCTTCCGTGCAAATACCACACCTTGGGATGCTCCGAGATTTTCCCATACTACACCAAACTCAAACACGAGTCCCTTTGCAATTTCAGACCGTACAGCTGTCCGTATGCCGGTTCCGAGTGTTCGGCATCAGGTAACATTCCTTATTTGGTCAAACATCTGAGGGACGACCACAAAGTGGACATGCACTCGGGTTGTACGTTTAATCACCGTTACGTGAAGTCGAACCCTCGTGAAGTAGAAAACGCGACATGGATGTTAACTGTATTTTATTGTTTCGGAGAATATTTTTGTCTCCACTTTGAGGCGTTTCAGATAGGGATGGCTCCGGTTTACATGGCTTTTCTTCGATTTATGGGAGACGAGACTGAGGCGCGAAAGTACAGTTATAGCCTTGAGGTTGGGGGCAATGGGCGGAAGCTGATGTGGGAAGGGACCCCACGAAGTATTCGGGATGGTCACCGTAAAGTGAGGGATAGTCATGATGGTCTCATTGTACAACGGAATATGGCTCTGTTTTTCTCTGGTGGGGATAGAAAGGAGCTCAAGCTCAGGGTTACGGGTAGGATTTGGAAGGAGCAGCACAATTCTACCCAATCATTGTAGCTAATCAACTGTGTGATGTGACGGTTCTTCGTTAAATGTGTAGTATTGGATGGCCTACTAGTGCAGTGCTACTACCGTTTGCCTAGGTACACCTAAGTATTTGCGCTACTAGTGATGCCTCCGAGTTATAATTGTGAATCGCGAACAACTTTTAGACTTTTAGTAGTTTTTATTTTTTTATTGCAGATACAGTAATTTTGGCTTTTGCTATTGGAAATAAATGTATGCTCAATTACATTGCATTCATTCATTTCAATTTTTTTTTTATTTTTTTTTACCTTTCCCACCACACACATTGTTTAATACTAACTAGTTATACCCCGTGCATTTGCACGAACAAACGGTATGATAGAATAAAAAGTAAATAAATATATAGAATAAAATAAAAATTATAACTTAATAAATGAGAAAAAAAAATAATTTAAAAAATGAATCTAAATATTATTAAGCACTTCTTTATATACAATATTCGTGGTTTTCCTATCATCAGAATCCTCATCACAACAAATCATTATCGTTAAACTTCTTCGACTCGTGATTCTGGAATTCGATTTTTCAAAATATTTGATGTAGTTTTGTAATATCTGGAAAAAAAATATTTATTATTGTATGACTGCAATAGAAAATAGAGATATCTGTAGTCATTATTAATTAGTTGTGAAATATGTATTTATATTATAGTACTAAAAAATATAGAGTATCAAAATAAAAATAAAATATTTTGTATTTTAAAACATAAAAAGGCGTTACAGAAATGAACACATTCCAAATGGGACTCGCCAAAATAAATTGTGTAACTGAAAGAGACATATTTTTATTAAATGAGATTTAAGGTATTTTTATCATTCAAAATTAATTGAGATTTAAATTTTATTTTAATCATACAACATTTACATTAGTAACATGAATAAAATAATTTATATATTTGTGCCATATATTAAGAAAATTAACATTAATAAAAAAAATTATTGGTGTTTCTGATTTTTGGAAAAAAAAAATATGTGTCAATCATATTTTTCTTCTAACAATGCAACCAAATATAGCGGTTACAGCTCTGAATGTGCCAATCAACTTTAAATTCCAACATTAACCGTTACACTTCTGAATATTTTGCTACCAAATTTAGAATTAATTAACTGATCCAAAAAATAAATAATAAAAATATATATATTAAGGTGTAACGATTTTAGCAGATTAGTGAGTAGTTAATTAAAAAAAATGTAACTCCTTTTGGAGGGAAATGAAAATAGGTTTTATTAAATGTTTTATTAAATGTATCAGCCAGTAATTATATATATATATATAGATATAGATTTTAAATTAAAAATTATTGTTATTGCACATTTTGTTTTGTTTGTAAAATTTATTGTCCATCCACTCATATATTTTGTAACTGTTAATTACTATTTTACTATTTACTTGTCACATAAAATTATTATTTCTCTATGTATCTATGATTCTAACACATTGCAATTAATTATTATTTTTTATTGAAAAAAAAAGGATGAAATTCAAATTGTTGCAAATTAGAATTCTAGTTTCTCGCCAATCCCCACTAAATATAAGAAAATGTAAGATCGTAAGAAATATGATAAAGGACGGCGTAAGAAATATGTTGGAGTAGCTGAGGAATAAAACATAAATGAACTAATATTGATTTAAAAATATTGAATTGAATGAGTCTCAAGTTATTCATATAATAAAATGTAATTATGTGTATAATAAAATATATTTAGTATAAACTAATTTGAAATAATAATAGATATGTTTATCTCTCATAATTAATTTTAAAAGTTAGTGCTACTAAAATATAACAATATAAGTAAATAATTATTTCAAGAATCAAGTAAAGATGATATTAAAAATGAATAATCAGTCATTTGTCGAACTATCGTATAAATTTTAGATTATAAAAAATAAAAAATATAATAATTTTATTTTTGTACAAAATTATCTGTTAATGGTAATGAATTTAAATAATATATCAAGTAAAAATTTTATCTATCTGTAAATTCATTACATATGAATTAATAAAAATATTATTATAATATAAATCGAACAAACCATATAAATGAAAAGTCTCATTTTAAATATAAATAATAATACAAATTTGTAAAAATATTTAAAATTTAAATATAGAAACCTTTCTATTATAATTTTTGTAAAGAACTTCGATTTTTAACACGTGTAATAATTTACAGGTGTTGTACTAGCGATAGAATATTGGAGCAAAGTATACATAAAACTCAAATTTCTTATTCCAGCAGCTATCTATTCATATATTGCATTAAACATTTCAAATGTATCACGTGCTCTTGAAATCAATTACAATTAAACAATAAACCATGCATATTCACATTATTAACAAGTCTTAGTTCAATTAAAGAAAGATATATAAACATGTAGTAAAAACCATGAACTGCGGAGAAAAAACAATTACTATATATAGATAGCCTGTGATAATGAGTGTTAAATTAATTTTATAACTATTATTCTTACAACAACTTGATTCTTATTCCTCCTTCTTAATATAATACACCTCAATTTGTGATGAAAGTCCACTTTGCCAACTAATGTCCAACCAATTCATCAACCACTTCAATTGTTATGCGTGGGGAGTTCAACCACTGAATTAATTGTGGTAATGGATTCATCTATAAATAGATGGAGTTGCACTCGGCAGAAAATGAACAACTAAAGAAATGAAAGTGTAACAAAAAGAAAAGGAAAGAAAAGAAGAAAAGGAAGAATAAAAATATTCAGTACAAATGAATATTTGAGGGATCAAAATATTACTGATAAAAATAGAGAAAATATTATCAGAGAGATATTTTTATTCATATTTTATAGTGCTCAATTCTCGACTCCATTCCAGTTCGCTGGAGCTCGTAAATCTGGTGTGCTACAGATTTAGAGACGTTTGCCGTTGTATCTTTGGGGAAGTTACGCCTGAACCGTTAGCTGACACACGGGGCGTATTCTTCTTGCGGAAAGAGTTTTACTCGCCTCGGCTAAAATCTTTCCGTTTTAAGTTTTAATTTATTTTTTCGGTTGTAATTTATTTTTCAGTTCGATTGTAATTTTTTAATTTTTAGATTATTTGTAAGAACTGAAAAATACATATCAGTTCGTAGGTTCCCGTGTAATTTTTATACCCGAAGATTAACATAGCCCTAGTCCATTTTACTCGTACGGTAGAGAAGAAGCACGGGTGGGCCCACCAGCATGAGTCAACTCGAAAGCCACACCCGTGGGGAGCAACCACTCTGACCGCAAAATAAACTTCCCCACCGTGAACCTACTCGCCTCATCCGTGGACGTGATCACACGGTATCCCGGCCACTTCACCCGTTGCCTTAAACTTGCTCCCGGCCCATAATTCATGTACCGATCCCCGTAATACAACGTGTCTAGTGCAAAACCTCCTTTCCACTCTAGTTACCCATGTACGATTGCAAGTACACTGTCCGGGAGTACATCTTCCACGGCCTCCCCAAGTACGTCGGGAACACGGACTTTACTGCGAGATTCCCGTGTTTTGCGAGGGGTCCTTGCGGTTCTGGGCTGTGATGGTGTTCTTTTGATTCGGCATCGGCTTTCGAACGCGGATGTTGCAGCTCTGGAAGACGACAACCGCGTTCCCGAATATGAAGTCCACTGTACCGTATATGTCGCACTCGCGGTAAAACTGTCTCTGGGAATGTAGTCGATGATGCTGCACCGGTAGACTACTGCGTGGTCGGCCCCAACCCGGAGGGCTAATGCTTGGTGAGTTGAGGGGCCCGCATAGTTCTCGAAAAACCGGTACCCGTTGCGGCTATTGCGTCGTGAATACCAGTTGCAGATCCTACCAACCAAGGGTTTGTGAGAATTTTGGTGTTGATCCCATCCTTGATGTCTCTTCTGAAGCAATGCAGGTAGGAGTTCTTCACTGACATCCAACAATTCCACATCCATGAGGAGCTCTGAATTCTTTTAGCTTCTAGGACTGATCCCCTAGGACAATATTCTCCTTTAGAATTTTAGTCACTAACAGGTTAGGCATGGTTAGGAGTCTCCGTATCTGATAAATGCGTTTTATGTTTCAACATATTTTTATATTCCAATAAATGCGTTTTATGTTTTGAACAATGATCTCATCATTCAAATTAAAATGCTTCCCTTAATATTACTAGCGCGTGCATCGCACGACTATTTCACCAGTTTATATTATTAAATGTCATACTTTTATTTATCTTATTTTTTCTAATATGACATTTGAGTATAAAAATATGCAAAATCTATTGAAAAAAGTCGATTATATATGTAGCTTAACAACACATTATTTTTTAAAATGATATGTATTGCTTCCAGCAATAGCTGCAATGTCACTAGAGAACCTGGGTGTCAGTCACTGTGCCTCCCCAGGTTCCTCTGGTGAGGGTTCAGAAGAGGGCGACCCCTGCCAATACGGATGATGCTATTGACGCAGAAGACGGAAGAGAAAGAACACCAATCGGCTGAGAAGAGATCGACGAACATGGATAGAGTCGTGGTGGTAGAGAGGGAACGAACGAAGCGAAGGGCTCAATTGCATTGACCCTAATATGAGGCAATCAAAGATTCCAGTCGGACCAGAAAAAGGCAAGGGAACAAAAGCCCAAGACGCATAACCTCTCCATTATCCTGATCGGGCAACTGCTTGCCTAAGTCCAACGGATGATTTATCAAAAATTCGTTGCTCAATGAGCACCTTACTCTATCAAGTAAGCAAATAGGAATTACCTTTGACCTCAACTGGAAGATCCCCTATGCTGTCTTCACGACACCGAGTAAACCGCATAGAAGCGAATGCCAATTATACCTTCACTCGACTGAAAAGAGAGGATCACTTTGCTCTCTTCTTTTGGTCTTTGACTTTACTTCGGCAACACTTATGACTTCACTTCGCATCGCTTCGATATAAAAATCTATTGCAAATTTTATTGAGTGGAATTGAGGTATATCCCATTTATATATAATTCTCGAATGTGCTGAGCCTAAGTGCATGCTCGCGTGTTTTAGGATCTATATGACAACTTCCCATGCTTTGTCATTTGGTTTGGATGAATTTTAATTTACTTTCAATCCAAAAATAACTAGGCCTAAAATATATATATATACTACATAATTTTAGTAGCATTAACTACGTTTTAATATCATTTATATTCTAGACGTGGTTTATAAAGTATAATTTTTTTCTTATTTTTCTTTTAAAATTATAAAAAAATTTACTAACGTAAATTATAATTATAATTAAAAGTTAATAAAATTTTCATTTATTATCAATTTTTTTATATATAATATATCAAATTAATCATATTTTGATGAGTTTTGATTCAACATCTATATTGTATATACAAAATAAAATAATAAATAAATATATTTATTTTTAAAATAAAAATTAAAACCTATTAATATTAATTGGAAATAATAAAATTAATTTCACTACAAAATAATTAGATGATATAAGTTAACAAAATTTTATAATATAAAATGATAAGTTTGACGATACAATTTTAAATACCAATACAAATTGGGATAACACTAACACACACTTTAGATAGCATTCAGCAAAAACCAAAGCCCCAAATGTCAAATGCCACCAAAACAAGTTTATTAGGTCAAAATGATTTGTAGCCACACAACTAAAACCTTACATATCCCCAAAGTTACATAAACATACTGTAAAATCAGAAGTTGATTCAATTCAGAACCAGATGACAGCTTAAACTACGCGGCCCGACTGCCTTATCAGTTGCGAAAAATAAAGACATCCCACACTAGGTCATTGCCCTTACTATCTATTCTATCTGCCACTTCAAATACGCAAGCATCACCAAGCTTAATCCCATTATCCTGCACGAATTTCCTCCATCCAGCTGTCAACAACGCTGCACGGCGTTTTCCCTTGCGGCATTTCACGAGCCATTCTTTCCCATTCGTGACCAAAACTATCGACGAAACGCTCAAATGTGGCAAATTCCGTCTACCAAATGGAAATGGTACATTCTGCATTTTAGGAAAAGAAATGAACAATGTTGTAAGCGAAAGCCAATGCTGACTTGGAAAATCTTTAATGAGTTAGTTACCAAGCCGTGGTTGTCTCCGACATGGGATGTGTGCATCAAAGAAATAAAAAACGGGTTTTTTTTAGTGCGGCGGGAGACGAAATCCTCTGCTTTCTGATACGCATCCCACGTTTCCTTTATGTCTGATCAAATGCAATGCAACAATTTATTCATTAGCCGAGTGTTGATGAAACTTTCAGTGGTATTTGATGCTTTTTATTCAGAAGGCAACAGAATTTCGATAGATATGCTAAAACAGGGGAACAAAACGCCACACAAAAAAAAAAAAAAAAATTCTAACCAGAACTTGATCCATCGAAATTGGGTCTTTCTTCTTTCAGACGATCACAATTCTTCGAGTGATGACCCTCCATGTTTTCTTGACTTTTAGCTTTGCCGTTCCTTTTTTTCACGATTTCTTGATTTCTGCCTTTGCCCTTCCTTTCTTTATCGTGTATTGGGTATTTAGTCTCATCAGCATCACTGTTATCAACATCATCAGAAGATTTGTTTTCCCCATGAACCTGAATAATCATCTTACTTGGAATGAACTCAAACGTGTAGGACTTCCCAAGGACTAGGTTGTTAGATGTCTGAAACTTGGGCCAGCCGTTGACCATTTCCACGAACCCAATACGCCGTCTTGACTTCAGCTCAACACAAACAGGATGACCTCCTTCATAGTCCAAACACACTCTCTTCTTTCCTATCAGACCAGCGGCCAACAGAAAATCCTTGGGGACATGCTGATTTATCAAACAAGACAAACATATAAACCAAATCAACATTATGCATGCCAAGGAAAAGAATTGTTAAATAATAATGATCCTGATTAATTGGTGTTTACCAGTCTATATACATGCTGGGGTTTCATGATTATCTTAAAGCGAGGATTAGAGCTGCCAGATTTGGCCTCATCCTCACCGTCACTACATGAGTAGGCCTCTTCCTCCAGATCTGCAGAGAATGGGAAAATTTTGGAAAATAACATAAAAGAAAAAAGAGCTGAAAAAATGGAACTCGATCATCCAAAAAAATGATTAGAAGAGGAAAAAATAATCGGCGGCACCATTTTCAAGTCGTGCAGAGCCTTGAAAGGTTCCCTTCGCGCAGGCGTTTTTCCCATAGCCGCTGACTTGGAAGGTCGATTTCTCGGAACACCATATGAAAATAAGGAAATCAAACAATTTCAGCTCCATATCCTCAATAAATTCAGTCCAGCCCTTGCAAAACCAAATATTACCGTCCTCCATTTTCTCCAGATTCACGGCCCAAGTGGTCCCGCCGGAGATTTCGAGCTTGGCCTTCCCAAGCAGAGGCCCAGCTCGATTTCGCGCGAATTCTGGTGGGATTCTCTAAGCACAGGGTGTCAAAAGTAAATAATTAGAATCTAAGAAAACATGTACTGAAATTCACATGTGTGTGAGGTGAGTAAGCGACGGAGGGGAGTGAGTGAGGACTTACGAGTCGTCGGGTGAAATCATCGCCGAACAGAATCTTGAAGAAAGTATTGCGCCGGCGCCGGAGTTTTGTATCTCCATCAACTAGATAAAAGAAAAGAACTATATTTGTATTTTTTGTTGAGAAAGGGGTGACTGAATTAATTAGAAGAAAAAAAATCTATAGTAATATAAAGAGGTTGTTGGAAAAATACTTTTATAATAAGTTTGACTAAAAAATAAATGATTTGACTTACTATTAATAGAAATTTTGAAAAAAAAACACATGTACCAAAATAAATTGAGATTTTTATGGTAACAAATTTGGAGATTTTTATGGTAACAAATTTAATTGAGATATCCCAAAAAAATTGAAGATTTTTATGGTAACAAATTTGGAAATTCCTATACCAAAATTTAATTCATTTTAAATATTAATCCATAAGAATTTACTTTTATTGGTAACAAATTTGAAGATTGTTATGCCAAAAAACTGAGATTTTGAATTGAGATATTCCAACAATTACGGATTTTTTTTCCATTCAAATTAATGTTGTTAATCAAATAAAAAATTATTCTAAAAATAATGGGTGTTATACCAACTATTGATAAACTCCAATCTCATAGGAGATTTCTATGGGATTCTTATGGTAACAAATTGGAGATTCTTATGCCAAAAAATTGAGATTTTGAATTGAGATATCCTTACAATTTCGGATTTTTTCCCCTTCAAATTCATGTTGTAAATCAACAAAAAATTATTTCGAGTGGATGATATACTACATATTGATAAACTCCAATCCATAGGAGATTTTTATGGGTTTCTTATGGTAACAAATTGAAGATTCTTATGGTAACAAATTTGGATATTCTTAAACCAAAATTTAATTCATTTTAAATATTAATCCCATAGGAATCTATTTTTGTTGGTAACAAACTTGAAGATTCTTATGCCAAAAAATTGAGATTTTGAATTGAGATATCTCAACAATTACGGATTTTTTTTTCATTCAAATTAATGTTGTAAATCAAACAAAAAATTATTCCGAGATAATGGATGCTATACTAAATTAATATCACTGGGTCCACACGTTAATATAATATTAATTAGATAGATAAATTACGTAAATCTTTTCTAACAAAATGCGTTCCAATATTGTTAACCAATTTAATGGAATTTTGTTAACTAATTTGATAGGATTTTGGTAACCACGGTATTTTGTTAGCTTTTCATGGAAACACGTATCTTTATTATTGATAAGGTTTGATAAGATTTTGTTTTCAATTTTTTTTTTTTGTTTTTTTTTTCCTCTCTCGAAAATTTGATAAGGTTTGATAAGATTTTGTTTCTTTTTTTTTCTCTCTCTCGAAAATTTGAGTTGTGGATTTGAAAAAAAATAAATAAATAAAATAAACATATCATATAGATAAAGTTTTAGTGTGGGCATAAAAATCAATTTTGATTTGATTGAACTTTGTTCATATAAACCTAAGAGAATCAGACGTTGAAAAAATAAAATATTAATAGTAAATAATCATACCATATTTGTAAGGTTTGATTTGGAATATTGAGGCATAAAAATCAATTATGATTTGATCACATTTTGTTTGATAGAAGTTATCTTAGAAAATTTTACACGTTTCAAAAAATTAAAGATTATAATTTTGTAAATTAAAGTTTTGGATTTGTCCAAATAAATAGGAAAATATAAAAATATAAATATTATTTTTCAGTCTATCCAAAAAGTCTTACCAAATTTCATTGTAACAAACTCCATTATTTTTTGCTACATAATCTTCTAAATATTCGTTCGTCCCTCACAAGTGAATCACGTTCCACATTTTTTTTATTCTTTTAACAAAACCGATAACACATATTTTTAGAAGTCAATCATAATCATAATAAAAAAATGGATCGGATCATATTAAATACCTTAGGTAAATATTTTTTTATTTCCCAGACATATGTCACATATACATGACTATATAAACATCACCAACGTTGAACAAAAAGTATTCGACATCCAATATATCCCACAAAACATTTTTTTCTACAAACTTTTACATCACCATTGAAAATGGCTTCGGATTTTGGAGTAATCAAGGATATCAAAAGATCTAATAATCCACCAATCAAGCTACGCATAATTAGGATGTTCCAACGAGTTGAAGACGTACGCAATTACCGAAATGTTCTTGAGATTATCTTTCATGATTTTGAGATAATATATTCATTTAGTATTATTTAAATGCATCATTTTATGCAACATCTTTTATAATTTATTTATTGGATTATTCATTATGCAATATTTTAGGGAGGACGAATTACTGACATAATTCGACCTGTCAATATCCAAAAAATCATCGGTGATATTAAAAAAGGTGGCGCTTATATCTTGACAAACTATCAAGTGGAAAGCAATATTGGTATCCATAAATCGACGATGGGAAAAAGGAGGATCATTATCAATGGTCAAACCAAGATTATCAAATGGAGGGATGATTTTCTTATTTCTAACTTTAATGGATGTCCGTAACATTGATGAAGTCATGTTGTTTGGTACGTTAGAATTTTTTTGTTTATTTCTTATTTCGATTTTTTTTTAATTTAAAATCTGTAATAAACTATTTTATATGTTATACATTTCAATATGATGCATTTTCTTATATTGTTGTAGATGTTATTGGATTGATTGTTTCCCATTATATTTCTGAATAAAAAATATAAAATGACACGTATTTTGAAACGAATATAATGTAATTTATTATCAGTTATGTGCAACGCACGAGTTGTTTACTAATTTTAAATAGACATTTTTATGTAATTTTGCACAATTTAAATTTTATATAACATTTACAATAAATTAATATAGGTACATTGTATTATATATTGATTCCATGTTTTTAATTTATAAATATTATTTAATGATAATTTTTAATTTATGAATATTAATAAATATCTCTTACCGTGCATCAGACGGAATTCATACTAGTTAATTAGAAAAAATAAAAATTTTATTCTTGCATTATGAATTTAACCATTTAATTAGTTAATTAATTACCCGGATCATCATCTGCAAATTCGTCATCTAGGAGAGGAAATTCTCTGTCACAACCGCTGACTGAAAAAATTGCTACATCGAACAGCGATTTCCCAACGAGCCAAAACGCCATAAATTCCCCGAGTTGCAACCCGACGTCCCTAGCAAATTCACCCCAACCCTCGGTAAATTTATAATTACCGTCCCCCATTTTTTCCACCTTCACGTCCCAAGTAGCCCCCGAACTTACCCTCAGTGTCGTCCGCGTGCTCGCGACAAGGACTCGTTCGTGTTCTCGCGAGAAATCGGGCGGTATGCACTGCGAGATGAGGATTTAATTAACCGGAACGAAGAAAGAATTATTATTATTATTGATATTTTTCAAGATCTGAGCGTGAAATTAAACGGGCTTACGAGCTGGTGGTTGAAGTCCATTATCAAGACCTTGAAGAAGGATGGGCTTTCCTCTAGCTTCATGCTAATTCTTTCTTTTGTTCCTTTGAACTGAAAACAATGAAAAAATTACTTAATGTTTCGAATTAATTGTGGAAACTGGAAACTGGAAAGGACTTTGAATTATGATTTTATTTTATTTTTCCTTAAATTTCTTTATCAATTTATTGTTTGTTTGTCTTTTTGGCTGCGGCTATTAAGAACACGCACACGTACACATACAAACACGCACACATAAGAACACTGGACCGCACAAAAATTCCAACAAACACTCGGCCATTTATAATATTTCAGTTGTGACAATTAGTGGTGCTTTAAGGTTCGTTTTCGGTTTAAACCTATAATANCAAAAAAAAAAAAAAAAAAAATAAGCAGCAAAGCCTTAAGACCAGTATCAAACTCTTAAAATGTTCACCACTGAGATGGAGATGCAAGGAAAACTTGAAGAATCCCAACAGAGAAGAGAATTCTGGTGCCGGTGCCGATTTTAATTCCGCCGAACTTTTGGGCTCTGCCTGAGAGTTTTTCTTTCTTTTGGGCTTTTTTATTCACATGATTGTTTACTAGCGAATGTATATGTGTTGAGCATAAAACAGCTTTAAATGATATTTATTGTTTTTTCTGGAACTACTTTGTCTTCTTGTTCTTCTTTGAACGTGGAATACGTATATGAATAGAGTTGGTACAGAAGGGTGATAGCTTTTATTGATTTGCTCTGATGAAAAGATTTGATTTGCTTGTGTTATAATTTCTTTCACGAAATTGAAGGGTTTGCTTTTTTCTGTGTGGAAAGGGCATGCTACATTATACTCTCATTGGGGGCTAACTAATAAGACAAAATCTGTACTCGTCACTGTTGCGTGGTGGAAATAATATATCAACAAAAATAATGCATACTTTTATAAGAATTATTCTGTAAGTTTTTTCTTTGGAGAGAAGATTGTCAGTGAACTAGTCGAGAACTGATCAATGACAGGTTCAACTGACAAAAAATGGCCGGCAGGTCTAACCGATCGATAGTTTTTTAAAATATTTTAATATATTAATAAATATTAATAAAATAGAAATAAATATTTAAATATAATATGTATGCATAAATTATTTTCAATTAGTTTAAATATTTGAATGTTTTATTTTATTAGAAAAATATTTAATTATAATATTTTATGATTAAAACTATTATATAAAGTTATATATATATATAAATATTAAAAAGTTAAATATAGATCCAACCGTTCAACCACTAATGAAACCAGTGAATTAGGTCTGGTTCTGAAAATATTGGAATTACAAGGGTGTATTCATTCGTGATTCGTAAAGACTTTTTTGGGATTTAAGAATTGTTATGTATTTAACTTAGATTTTTTTAAGATTTTAAAAGCGCCGAGTATTTACCTGAGATTTCAAAGTCTTAAAAATTTATGAAAAATTCAATTTATTTATTACTTTGATTTGACTGGATTTTGAGACTTCACCTCACAAAAAGTCTTAAAAAGTATGAGATTTGTTTTTTTAGATTTCACCTGTGACCTCACACCAAATTCCACATCAAGAAGTAAGATTTCCAAGAATTCATATTAAATGTAAAAAAATAAGATTTACTTTTTTTCATTTTTTTCATTTTTTTTTTCAAATCGCAATACAACATGAAACTTGAAATAAATTAGGATTTTACCGTGCATGGTTATTGAAGGCTCTGTAGTAGTGTAGTATTTAAGTGAAAGTTTGCATCGATCATAATTGACGACATTTACTACAAAACACGAAATGAGCATATTTGAAATAAATGGGATATTAGATATTACCGTGCATGGTTGTTGAAGGTTCTGTAGCATTTGGATGAAAGTTTGCATCGATCAAATTGATTGACATTTACTACAAAACATGAAATGGGCTTTGCCTTTGCGTGTTCAGTAATCAGTACAATAAGTGCACGCACCGGTGATTTGCCTTATTTTCTAAAGGTGGTTTTTATGTGTTAGCCTAAACTACATTGACATTATATATATATAAATATAGGGATTGATTCCAATGCATCTCATTATTTAAAGTGAGGACGTGAGACTCATTCCTATCCACAAGATTTAGATCTTGATTTAAATAATAATTTTTTATTTTTATTATTTAATTCTTTATTTTTAATTATTTAAATATTATTATGACCATTACGGTTGACTTCGGCGTTGACCGTTGACTTCCGACGTTAACTTCCGGCGAAAATTGTTGACTTCCAGCGTTGACCGTTGACTCCGGCGTTGACCGTTGACCATTTGTCTTTTGTTGTGTTATTTCTTTCTTGTTAGGTTAGTTGTTTGTTGTTGCTAGGTTAGTTATTTGTAGCTGTTAGGTTAGTTGAGTTTTGTTGCTAGGTTAGTTGTCTTTTGTTGCTAGGTTATTTTTTTCTTGCTGCTAGGTTAGTTGTCTTTTGTTGCTAGGTTAGTTCTTTCTTGCTGCTAGGTTAGTTGTTTTTTTAAAACAAACAACGCCCCGGAAGGGCGGGGGATTGGGCTGGATCCCCAACCTGTGCATAGGTCAGGACCCCAAAGTCGGGGCCCAAATATCAACAATCAAGATACAATAGTCTACATCGTCCCACAAATGAAAATCAAAACCAAAAACCAAAAAGAACCGAAAAACGAAAAAGAAATAGAAACTACAATACATAGTCGATCTTCGGGCTAACAGATGCCCGAAATAAATGTCTAGACTAATGAAAGCAAGAATCCTAAACTAGTGAAAGCGAACGCAGGATATCCAAGCTGGTCCATCCGTACAAGGGTGCGAAGGCGGAGTGGAGCAGTGTCGGTCTGTAATGTATGTATGTCTGGTATGGTGGCGCTAAGGCTGGCAAGATAGTCGGCGGGTGTGTTCCCCTCACGGAAAATGTGCGTGATCCTGTGATGGACAGACCGGAGTAGATCTCTAATACGCATAAGCGTGTGCTGAATCTGCCACGAACCCTGGTGGCCCGAGGTCAAAAGGGTGACGACAACCGCAGCGTCTAGCTCGATCCAAATGTGGCTAGAGAGGTGGACAGCAATCTGAAGGTCGATCTGTAATGCCTGAATCTCTGCATCATAGCTCGAGGAAGCCTGAAGGGACGTGTGGAAGGCGGTGATGAGGTCGCCGCTATGGTCCCGGATCAAGCCTCCTCCTCCGGCAACTCCAGTGTGGCGATCAAAGGAGCCATCAGTATTTAGCTTGACCCACGGAGAGTCAGGTCGAAGCCAAACAACAGCTCTGGGCCGAGGGGGTCGAACAGGCGGGGATGGGGCCACCATGTAGCGATGTGGTGGCGTGCAGCCTGTCCAGTCTAGGGCCGTGAGCCTGCCCAATGCGATGAGGAGTGAAATGTGTCTCTCTACCTGCAAAACAATGTGAGAAAACATAAAAGTAATATCCCTATGCTTCGCACTATTTCTTTCTGTCCAGGTGAACCAAAGGATCAGAAAAGGAATGAGGAAGCCCACGTGTCTAAGGTGTGTGCTCTGTGAGAAAAAACTCAGAAGCTCAAAGAAACTATATGTGGTGGGTAGGGATATATGTGTCCGAGTGGCAAAATGCTCCCACACTCTCCTCACAATCTCACTCTCTAGGAAAAGATAGGTAAAGGTCTCGGTCTCATGGCGTCCAGTCTCAAAACAACACACACACCGAGAGGGGAAGGAGATCCCCCTCGCGTGTAGCACAGTATCCACGGGTATCCGGCGCAAGAGGAGGCGCCAAAGGAACACCGAAATAGTAGGGGTGAAAAGGTCACTCCAGATGGCCCGGAAGAGGAGATTAGGTCGATCCCTCAGCCTGATCTGCTCCCAAGCCGAGGTAGTAGTAAACACACCCGATGATGTAAGTCTCCACCTCATGCTATCTGAACCGTCCCCCGAGATAGGGATCTACTGGATCTGATCTAATAACTGCTCGCTAAAACCCGCACCAGACCCCAACTCCCTATCAAGCTTCCCTCTATCCCACGACCCATCCGTCCAGAGGTCGCTCACAAGCAGGTATGGGGAATGCGACACCTGCCTATCCCTAGACAATGGCCTATTACCTACCCACCACTCATCCCAGAAACTAACATCGTCTTAAGTTGCTAGGTTATTTCTTTCTTGCTGCTAGGTTAGTTGTCTTTTGTTGCTAGGTTTTTTTTTTTTTTTTTTTTAAACAAACAACGCCCCGGAAGGACGGGGGATTGGGCTGGATCCCCAACCTGTGCATAGATCAGGGCCCCAAAAACGGGAGCCCAAATGTCAACGAACTAGATACAAAGGTCTACATATTATGACAATCAAAAACAAAAACAAAAGGAAAACAAGAAAGAAAAACCGAAAAACGAAAAAGAAACAAAAACTACAATATAAAGTCGACCTTCGGGCTAACAGTTGCCCGAGATAAATGTCTATACTAATGAAAATAGAAATCCTAAACTAGTGAAAGCGGAACGCTGGATATCCAAGCTGGTCCATCCGTACAAAAGTGCGAAGACGGAATGGAGCAGTGTCGGTCTGGAATGTATGTGTGCCTGGTATGGTGGTGCCAAGGCTGGCCAGGTAATCAGGCGGTCTGTTCCCCTCACGGAAAATGTGCGTGATCCTGTGATGGACTGACTGAAGTAGATCTCTAATGCGCAGAAGCGGGTGCTGAATCTGCCACGAGCCCTGATGGCCCGAAGTCAGGAGGGTAGCGACAGCCGCAGCATCCAGCTCGATCCATATATGACTAGAGAGGTGGACAGCAATCTGAAGGCCAATCTGTAGTGCCTGAATCTCTGCATCGTAGCTCGAGGAGGCCTGAATGGACGCGTGGAAGGCGGTGATTAGGGCGCCGCTATGG